TAGATTTCTATCTTGAGTAACTCTACCTTTTGGGGCAAACTTCTTCTACAAACGAATAAGATAAATTTTATTTATTTGAATAGCTAATTTATCACAAGAATAATTGCTAAGATTTAGAGTGCTATTGTAAAGTGACAACATTCAAAGATGAAAAGGATAATTTAATTAAAGATGATCTTTTTAAACTAATAGACAGCATTTTTATTTGGAGCTTAAAACATCCTATAACTTAAAAAAATATTAGCAATATTGAATACATATCTTTAAAGTATATAACATACTTAACTAAATACAGGAATAATTCTTTCCAAGCTTACTACAATCTTAAAAGTATACTAGCTAAACATCAAGATTTAAGCTTATATTTTAAGACTCTTTCAAATATACTATCATCTAAAATAGAAGAAGAAATACTGCATTAATAATAAAATAATCTTAAAAAAAAATCAAATGAAACTTAATTCATCACTTAAGTAAATTAAATTAAATTAGTAATAGAAGCAGATAAAATTGAGAGAAAATTTATGCCATTGTTGATAGATTTTGCATAAAAAAAGTATGAGTATTACTACATTCTAAAAGAATAAAATATTTCTTTATAAGATTTCTTAGACTTAACTCTTTCTGTGTCGTAAGAAGCCCTAAAAATCTAAAAGGTTTACACTTAATTATTTATTAAAAATTTAGATTACCCTTTATTCAGAAAATCTTATCAAGTATCTAAGGTAAATTTTAAAATTATTTAAATATTTTTCTCTCATTAAAACATTTTACGTAAATGATATAGTTAAGGCAAGTTTACAAAGTTATAGTATTGAATGATTTATTTGCTTCTATCTAAGATGAAATTAATTTGAATGAAATTGTAAGGAATGATTAAAATAAATATTTAGATTAAGTCAGCAATTCAGCAGTTTTAAGAGGAGATGTAATTTCAATGAAAGTAAGTTTTGCTAAAAACTAAGGATAAATAATTAGCAACAATTTGTCTAAAATAGCAAATTATTTTGGGTACACTGATAAGGAGGTCTATAAAATTAAAAATTTCAAATCTCTCATGCCAAGCTTTATAGGTGATATACATGATTTTTTTATGCAAAGTTCAATATAAAAAGGATTTTCTTATCTCTCTGGATAAAAGGTGCAAGTATTTGCAGAAGACTCTTAATGTTTTTTAATTCCTATAAACCTCTTCTTTACTTTTTCTTTTGAAAACTAAAATGACTGTTGTATTTATAGTACTTTGATTAAAAGAGATACTAATAATTCTTATATCTTATTTGATTAACTTGGAAAAATTTTAGGAATTTCATATAAAGCATTTTCTTAGCTTTTTAAAAGTAAAATTGATAAAGTGGAAAACGATAAACTTACTAATTTATAAAGAGATAAATAAAAATAATAAAACTTTTCTCAAAAAAAGTAGGTAATCAAGTTTAATGATTAATGAAAATTACTTTAATAGTTTTAAAAATTTTTAAGAAATTTATTTAAAACTAAATGTCTGTCTTTCTAAAATATAGTGAATGGGAGGGATAACTATTTTTTAGAAAAACCTTTATTTTTTAATAATATTTATTTTTTTTTAATTATTTAAATAGATTGAAGAATATTTCAAAGATATATCACCGTCTTAAGTTTATAATAATTTTTCTATATTTTTGATAATACCATAGATCTTAAGAGTTATTAGAAAGCACTATGAAGAAAATGAATAAACAAATTAAATAACTCAAAGTAATAAATTTAATCAAATTAAAGCATCTACAAATTTGTGTCAAAATAAAATTTATAAGATTTAGATACCATATAATTTTCAAGATCTTAACACTAAACTTAATTAATTTTTAAGCTAATTCACTAGCTCAAAAGATAGAAATTAATTTTAATCTGGAATTGACTTTGTTTCTTACTACAGATAGATTTAGCAGTTCTAGAAGAGAAACTCAAATGTAATAAATCTTTATTAAAAACTTATTATTATTTACAAATAAAAAAATATTACACATTATTAAATATTTCTTATTTAGTTATTTTAATTTGATAAATTTAAAATATTAAACACTTTTTAAAAAGTTTTATGAAAATAGTAACAATTTGTTTAGGGAATTAGATATTTCTTTTAACTTATAACTTATTTCTTACTTCTATGAATAAAATCATGTTAAAAAAACCAGATCCTTCTATTGTTTGGAAATAATGGATACCTTTTAAAATAAAAATGAAGCAAAATTAATTAATCCTTTTTTAAGAATGAATCATCTTTAAGAAGCAGAAGAGAATTTTAATAAAATAGAGAACACTATTGAATCCAGTCATTATTCTTAAAAATTTTAAACTTATATGTCACAAGATTAAAAAGAAAATAGTGAAATTAAAGATAATTTATTTTTAGATTAATAAAATTAAATAAATTTTACATCTCTAACTAATACACATAATTTAATTAAAGAGGATAGCACTCTTTCATCTAAATAATAAAAAAATTAAATATAATAAAAAGAAGATATTGAGTTTGTTGATATATTATATCCTTAAAACTTGAATTAAATTGATTTAATTTAAAAATTTAATAATTATGATAATAGTGTTTAAAATTTAAATGTCTAAACACGTGATCCTCCTTCTTTGTTAGCTTCTCCTTATTTTTAAGGACAAATAGATAACTAAATTTAATCCGTTCCATTATAATAGTCTTCTTCTAGCTCTTAAATTTCAGAAAAAGAAAATGTCGCTAGCGGCTTTTCCTAGAATTACTGTTTCTATAAATAATATACTTTTGATGAACAAAAAAACAATTAACCAGAAAGCACGATTTTTAATATGATTCAAAAAGTAAAATTACATTTAAAAACATATAAAATAGAAAATATTTAATTCATGATTATTATTATTTTATAGGATACTCAAAATATAGTTGAATCAGATCTAGAAAAGTTAAAAATGAATAGTTTTCCTATTTTATAAAAGAAATCTACTGACGAAGATGATGAAGATTTGATAAAAATTTCATCTGATATAAACAATTTAGAATAATAAAAGGATAAAAGTAAATTAGATATAATTATGCACACAAATAAAATAAAGATCAGCAAAATTAATATGGATAAAACTATTCATTAATAAATTAGTTTTAATCCTAAGCAAGAAGAGTTTTTTAATGAAGCATAATAATTTAATTAAACAGTTTCAACATCGAGAGTATTAATAGAGTAAAACATAAATAATAGTTCTCCTTAAAATACTAAAACAAAGAAATAAAGCTATGAAATTTTATTCAATTAATTAAGTTAATATAAATTATAAAATAAAATTTTAGATGTAAAAGAATAAAATATTAATTAATATTTTAAGAGTGAGAATCAAGTATTTTAGCTTTTTCAGAATATGTAAACAAAAAACTCCTCCTAACATTCTCTAAGTTCATTACTATTAAAAACCAAAGGCCGAATAATTAATCAAATTTAAGATAAATCTAAATCACATATAACTGTTAAGATATTCAATATATTATCATGTAAATTATTTGCTATTTTTATTAAAAAAATCTAAATTAATATTAAACTTTTATATAAATAATTAAAAGTGTTCGTCATAATAGCGTTTATTTCCCTGATTATAATTTATAGTATAGTAATTAATTCTAAGTTTAACATAGCGACTGATACTTTTTCTGTAAGTAATTCTATTTCTGAAATTAATTAGCAATATTTTAGAGCTATATTATCTAGTCTGTAGTTGTACCAAGTAAATAACGGGTTATTCTTCAATATTGAACCAATTATAAACAAATAAAATTAATTGAACCAATATCTAAATTAGACAGTTTACAGCTTTAAGAAGAGTTATATTTAGTATATGTCTAACTATATCTCTTATGACCTGTTTTAGCAATAAAATTTATAAGTAACAATCTTTAATAATAAGTAAATAACCACATTTGATTAAATTAAATATTTACATCCTCATAAAATAAATATTTTCAAACAAAATTTTATCATTTAGTTATTACAAATTTTTTAAAAAAATCTATTTTATAATGTAAAAAAAAAAAGAAAATATTTATTTTTTTTCAAATAATTTTTAAAATATTTTTTTATTATTTTTTCAATCATATTTAAAAAAAAACAGCAATTAATTTGTGAGATATTAAAAAAAATTTAAATTTTATTTAGAAATTAATTTTATTTTTAAAATAATTAGGAAAGGATACTCTTAAGTGTTAAGAAATAATTTTGAATTTGATATGTTAAATTTTGAAAATATTATAAATTTAATAAATTAACAAAATCAAATTGATGGACTGTTCTACTTAATTTAAAATATGATACTTTTTAGAGAAAATCAATAAAAAAATATAGAAAATGTTTATTAACAAGATACGCAAAATCAAAATAATCTCAAATATTTTAACATTTTAACTATCAGCTTAACTATATTCATTTATTTTATTATTTTTTCAATTGCTATTTATTTAATAATGCTAATTTAGAAATACTAAGAAAAAATGCTGATGACTATAGCTAGAATATAAGTATTTGAATGTGAAAATAACTCGTACATTTATAAAAAGTTTGTTCAAACTCTTAAAGATCCATCATTGTCTTGGCTACAAACTGATTTTGTTTCAACTAAATTTTTCTTAAAAATTACTAACGAAGATAAAGAAAACAGCTAATATTCTTAAAATAGCCCAAAAAAGATGAAGTAGTTTGAAAAAAAGCAATCTTTTATTAATTTTGAAAGTGGTTTAGCAGTATATACATAAAGATCAAAAAAATTAAAAAAAAGTCAAATGATTTCAACTTCTTTCACTCATTAAAATTTGACTAAGTGGAAAAAAATAATTACCATAAGTTTGATTTGCTTTTTATCGATCGGTTTTTTTAGTGTAAGTAACTTGCTAATTAAAAACTTTAGCGATGTTTTCAATTAACCCTCTCTTATTTTTTATTAATCATCATAAACTATTTAGAACTTGTTATAATTGAAAGCCTTTTCTTAAATTCTCTCTAACTATAGATATATAACTCAATTCTAAACGGATTTTCCTATAGTTAAGTTAAATTAAACTTTTGAAATTTTTAAATAATAAAACTATCAAGTTGAATAATTAATACCTTAATTACTTAAGGATTTCGAAAAGCTTAGTGCATATTCAAAGTCTTCTTAAACTAATTATTTAATCAATATTTTAAAGCAAAATTTATGTGATTAATTAGAAAATAATTAACAGATAACTTTGGACTGCTCTAAATTTTCAGAATCAGAAATTTAACTTTTATAAGGTGGAGCTTTAGGGATTGTAAATAGGTATATATATATATTTAACCAATATTCAAGTTTATTCAAAAACGATCTTGAGTTAGAAAGACATACTTTATAGTTACAGTAATTCTTAAATAGTACTGACTATTTTGACCTTTTTATTGATATGACTTAATAAATAGATGCTATTTCAAATAATTTTATAAGCACAATATCAAAAATCTGTTTAGATTTTACTTCACATTTAAGTCAACAAATTTAGCTTTATTTTATAATTTTGGGACCTATTATGTTTCTTATTTAAATATTAGCAATTTTTTATATAAAGGGAGTATTTTATAATTAATTAAGATGTTTAACATTAGGATTAACCTTAATACCTTATTCTAAAATGCAAGAAGAATCTACTTTATAAATCATTAAACAGCTATAACAATAGTGAAATATTGACTGCCAAATAAATTAAATATTTTCTTGTTTTTTTATGTTATTTGTATTTTTAAATATTAAGTTAACAACTTTTAGTAAAACGATAAAATAAAAAACTAGTTTTTTAAATATTTATTTATAAATTGAATTAAAATACTTTCATTTAAAATAAAATTTCTAATATATATATATATTAGTGTTTTTGTAAAAATAATTTTTTAAATTTGAGCAAAGCCCTAAAGAAGCAATCATTCAAATTTTATGAGAATAAATCAAATTATTTTATCTATCTATCTATCAACTTAAAAGCAATATTCTCTCAGTTTTTTTTAAATTCATTATTTTTAATTGATATAGTACTTTAATATGAGTATTTATGAAAATTTTATATATAGAAAAATGCCATTCAAAAATTTAGTGAATTTAGATCACTATTTTTTTGAATGGCTAATGATTTTGAATATTATATATGTAAAAATAAATAATTTTATAATAGAATTTCATTAATGATATTAATAATTTTTATTTATATAAAAATACTCAAAATATGTACTAACTTTGGATCTCGGTTGGATTTCTAAAAGAGGAATTACGGTAACCATTTTTCCACTTAAAAAGGTGTGATTAGTGCATGCCTGGAACATACTCATTAGCAGACCCAAACTAAGGGAAATAAAGCTTTCTAGTTTAATGCTAAAAAAGCTCAAATGTTTATGCTAAATAATGTTATTCAAATTAAACATACTACAAGATAATTATTAGAGAGAAACAAAGTTAACAGGAACTATTTAATTATGCTAGGTGTTAGGATGCAGCGAAATAAATTAAAACTAGATTAATGGATGCATTTAAGGTTATATTGGTCCTTTATGTAATTCTTGTGATTATAAAGGAATATATTGGGGAGTAAACTACGCTTAAAAAGGTAAAGAATGTTATGAATGTGATAAAATAGTCTAATTATATTTCTATCTGGCCATAATAATTTGATTTTACACATTCTACATTGTGATTAGCGTGATTAGCTAAATACAAAGCAATATTTTAATTATAAAAATTGAATATTTAAGAAAAATGGAGATACTATTTTTGAGCAAAACTAAATTAAGAGGATTTTAGACTGGAATTATTTTAAAGATATTTTTTCAATACTTATAGATATTCACATCTTCTATTGATATCTAAAATTATATTCCAGATTTTATAGGAAATATTTATAAGCTTGGTGGTGATCCTTCTCAAATAACTTATACAAATTTAGATTGTATATATAAGGACTGGGTAATATCCTAATTCTGGTTTTATAGATTAGTAATGTAAATTGCTTTAATTGTATTTATATTTGGTTTAGTCTTAAGCTCTAGGTATCTATTAAGTAGAAACATATAAAGATTCTATAAAATTAAGACATATTTTATATTTATCTACTTTTTCTATTATTCTTCAATTGTAAAATTATTAGTGTCTCTTTGCGTTTGTAAAAAAGTTGGAACTTATTATTATATGCTTAATGATCATCTTTAAAAGTGCTGGACTTATGAGCATGCACTTTTTTAGATTAGAATGGTCTATCCTTTAACTATAATTTGCTCTATCATAATACTTTTAATAATTAATGATAAAATAAAATTTGGCCTCCAAAAAAAACAAATAAAATAATGTTAAGCTTATTAAAATATATTATTTATTTTTCAAAGATATAAATAAAAATTTTATTATTAGGAGATCCTTAAATGTTTTAAAGGTTTATCATAATAATTATTTTAAATTTGGATATACAAGCTATTATTTAAAGGTAATTAATACTCTTTATTTGCTTTATATTATTAAATATGACAATACAACAGAACCCATATTAATAAAAACAATCTCAAAATTTAGAAGTTTTGCTTTAAACAATGACTTTAATTGCTTTGATATTGCAGATATTAGTTTATGTATTAGAAGCTCAGTTTTATAAACGCTTAGTTTTGATAATTATTATCATCATTTTAAATTTCTATAACTTATTAAAGATAATCTTTGAATATTATAGATCAGCTTTAGATTTAATCTTGAAATCTTAAAATCAAAAAGATAAAAAATTGATCCATTTTTTATTCAAATTAAAAATAATTAGCTTTGAAATAAAAAAAAATTAAATTTAATTATAAAGAATTTCTCATTTTTGGAAAAAGTCATATTCTTAAAAGAAAAATTTTAATTAATTCAATGTATCTCAACTACTATCAAAGGAGTAATTCAAAGAGTTGAAAATTTTTTTTTAATTTTTTTACGGATAAAAATATTTACTTGTTTTTTAGATTTTATTTTCTAAAAATAAAATTATATTATTTGATAATTATCATTTGTGTGTAATTTTAAATAGACTTTTACATTTTATTTATTTTTTCAGCTATTTAATTATTTATTCATAATATAATAAGGAAACTATTCTCTAAAAATAACAATTACTTATTTAATATGTTCTCTCATAAATAAGTTCTTTTTTAGTTTACTGATTTTTCAAAAAAAAAGGTTGTTAAATTAAATTTTGAGAAATTAATAAGAATTCTGTGAGATGTGAAATTATAAGGATTTACTGTATATCATATTATCTATTCAAAATATTTTAGATTACACTATATATAAATTAAATGTGTAAAGTTATTTGTAAATTTTTTTTCTCCTTAAAATTCAAAAACAAAAATGCTTGAAAGTTAAAAGTAATAACATGTTAAAAAAATATTATTGTTTTTTAAACATAATATCTTTTTTTTAAAACTTATTATTTTTTATAATTAAAAACTTTAAACTTATATTTTAAGCGCTGATTTACTAATAGAAAAATAGAAAGATATATTTGCTTTATTTGATTACAGATTTATGAGAATTACATATGTAATATTTTATTTTAATATCAAAATCTCTAAATTTTAAAAAACTGTTAGCATTTTATTGATATTTTTGATTTAATTATTCTGAAAAATTCATATCCTAAATAAAAAATGCTTTTTTAAATAACAAATAATAATGAAAAATAAGTATTTATAAAATTACTATTTACTTTAAATAACTTCATAGTTACTTTCTTTGAGTAAATTGTAATTTAAAATATAAAAAAAGGATTTAATGTTATTAAAAGATAATTTTGTTAAATATAAAGAAAACTAATTCGAATGAAATTTGAGGATGTAGACTAATTAAGAAATAAACTTATTTATAGATTAAAATGAGAGAGATATAGATATATACAGATTACTCATTTCTTATTATTATCATGCACTAAATTTATTATTTCATTAATTTAAAAAGTAAACAAAAAAGGATATGTATTTAGTAATTTAATAAACAAACAAACAAAAAACTAGTAGAAATAAATATCAAGTAAACAAGTTTAGTAAAATAGTGAGTGATGGGTACTAAAAAATTAGAAGTAAAAAAACAAAATAAAAATGAAGAAATACAAACTAAAAATAAAAAAGGTGTGCTTCTTTTATTTTTTGAGACAGTTTTAGAAATTATTGAAGATAAGTACACATATAGCATCCACACGAATTTCTTTTGTTTTTTGGTTTTGATCTACATGTTACAAATACTTGGATATGTCTTTTAAACTAATTCTCTTGAATGTTAAAAAGAACAAAAAATGAAAACTTTAAGCTTAATATCAGAATTTTCTACTGGAACTTATTTTTTATTTATAGGTGGTAAATTAAGATTGATTATTTACACATTTATCATAGCTTAAGTTCTTATGTATGCATATATTATTTACCTGGTATTGATTACTTTAGCTAAATATTTTAAATTTAAATCATGGTTGCTTAAGACTAGAAAAATTAGAAATTCAATTAACAAAAGACTCACAATATATTTCCTAATTTATATATGGTTACTATCTATACCTAATCTTGAAATTAATTCAGGAATCTCAAGTTGTGGCTAATATGAATTTTTGCCTTAGTATTATGGTAGCAATTGCAATTAAAAACCTGTTATTTTCTTAGTTACTTCATACCTAGGTTTATTCTTAACAATATGCACAACAATAACATTGCTTTTTTTCTACAGAACTTATGAATTTAATGATGCAACTCTTCTAAAAAGAAAGTTTAAACATATTTAAGTAGTTTAAATATTTCTATACTTTGCTACTATATTTAACTACTTCTTCAATTTTTTTCCAACTGATTTCTAATATGTAACTATTGAAGCGATATCAACACTCTATGTATATGATTCAATAGTAAACATACCATTTAAAAATAAGAAACTTGCAAAATTTTATATATGCATTTCAATCTTATTTCTTTCTATAAGTTCGGTTTCTATTTTATGGTAAAAAAATATTTTATTTACTTTCAAAGACCTTTTTTACTCAAATCTAATTATCTCATGCGTACTTTATGGCTTTTCTTCTTCTATTTGGTAAATTAGATATTCCTAGGTGATGCGTATAAATTCAATAAATTTTGAGAAGTAATACAACTAGTTTTTTTATTTTTTTATTAAAATAAATTTTATGATAATTTAAGGTGATCGATCAATAAATATTATAATATAATCACTTATCTTTTAATATTTTCATTAAGTAAGTATTTAATTTTTGGTAAATATAGTCAAATTAAAATAGATAAATTTCCCTGAAATGCTTATTTTCTTTCTTTCTTTCAAACTAATTTTAAAATAAACCATTCCATTTAAATAATTTTTTATAGATACTATGCTCATTTAGATTTCTATCTTGAGTAACTCTACCTTTTGGGGCAAACTTCTTCTACAAACGAATAAGATAAATTTTATTTATTTGAATAGCTAATTTATCACAAGAATAACTGTTATGATTTAGAGTGTTATTGTAAAGTGACAACATTCAAAGATGAAAAGGATAATTTAATAAAAGATGATCTTTTTAAATTAATAGACAGCATTTTTATTTGGAGCTTAAAACATCCTATAACTTAAAAAAATATTAGCAATATTGAATACATATCTTTAAAGTATATAACATACTTAACTAAATACAGGAATAATTCTTTCCAAGCTTACTACAATCTTAAAAGTATCCTAGCCAAACACCAAAATTTAAGCTTATATTTTAAGACTCTTTCAAATATTCTATCATCTAAAATAGAAGAAGAAATACAACATTAATAACAAAATAATCTTAAAAAAAAATCAAATGAAACTTAACTGATCACTTAAGTCAATTAAATTAAATTAGTAATAGAAGCAGATAAAATTGAAAGAAAATTTATGCCATTTTTGATCGATTTTGCATAAAAAAAGTATGAGTATTACTACATTCTAAAAGAATAAAATGTTTCTTTATAAAATTTCTTAGACTTAACTCTTTCTGTGTCGTAAAAAGCCCTAAAAATCTAAAAGGTTTACACTTAATTATTTATTAAAAATTTAGATTACCCTTTATTCAGAAAATCTTATCAAGTATCTAAGGTAAATTTTAATTATATTTAAAATTATTTAAATATTTTTCTCACTTTAAAAAATTTTATGTAAATGATATAGTTAAGGTAAGTTTACAAAGTTATAGTATTGAATGATTTATTTGCTTCTATCTAAGATGAAATTAATTTGAATGAAATATTAAGGAATGATTAAAATAAATATTTAGATTAAGTCAGCAATTAAGCAGTTTTAAGAGGAGATGTAATCTCAATGAAAGTGAGTTTTGCTAAAAACTAAGGAGAAATAATTAGCAATAATTTGTCTAAAATAGCAAATTATTTTGGGTACACTGATAAGGAGGTCTGTAAAATTAAAAATATCAAATCTCTCATGCCAAGCTATATAGGTGATATCCATGATTTTTTTATACAAAGTTCAATATAAAAAGGATTTTCTTATCTCCTTGGATAAAAGATGCAAGTATTTGCAGAAGACTCTTAATGTTTTTTAATTCCTATAAACCTCTTCTTTACTTTTTCTTTTGAAAATTAAAATGATTGTTGTATTTATAGTACTTTGCTTAAAAGTGATACAAATAATTCTTATATTTTATTTGATTAACTTGGAAAAATTTTAGGAACCTCATATAAAGCATTTTCTTAGCTTTTTAAAAGTAAAATTGATAAAGCGGAAAACGATAAGATATCTAATTTATAAAGAGACAAATAAAAATAATAAAACTTTTCTCAAAAAAAGTAGGTAATCAAGTTTAAATATTAATGAAAATTAATTTAATAGTTTTAAAAATTTTTAAGAAATTTATTTAAAACTAAATGTCTGTCTTTCTAAAATATAGTGAATGGGAGGGATAACTATTTTTTAGAAAAACCTTTATTTTTTAATAATATTTATTTTTTTTAATTATATAAAATAGATTGAAGAATATTTCAATGATATATCACCATCCTAAGTTTATAATAATTTTTCTATATTTTTGATAATACCATAGATCTTAAGAGTTATTAGAAAGCACTATGAAGAAAATGAATAATCAAGTTAAATAACTCAAAGTAATAATCTTAATTAAAATAAAATATGTACAAATTTGTGTCAAAATAAAATTTATAAGATTAAGATACCATATAATTTTCAAGATCTTAACACTAAACTCAATCAATTTTTAAGCTAATATACTAGCTCAGAAGATAGAAATTTATTTTAATCTGGAAGTGACTTTGTTTCTTACTATAGATAGATTTAGTAGTTCTAGAAAAGAAACTCTAATGTAATAAAACTTTATTAAATACTTATTATTATTTACAAATAAAAAAAAATTTCACATTATAAAATATTTCTTTGTTTGTTGTTTTTATTTGATAAATTTAAAATATTAAACACTTTTTAAAAAGTTTTATGAAAATAGTAACAATTTGTTTAGGGAATTAGATATTTCTTATAACTTATAACTTATTTCTTACTTCTATGAATAAAATCATGTTAAAAAAACCAGGTCCTTCTATTGTTTAGAAATAATGGATGCCTTTTAAAATAAAAATGAAGCAAAATTAATTAATCCTTTTTTAAGAATGAATCATCTTTAAGAAGCAGAAGAGAATTTTAATAAAATAGAGAACACTATTGAATCCAGTCATTATTCTTAAAAATTTTAAACAAATATGACACTAGATTAAAAAGAAAATAGTGAAATTAAAGATAATTTATTTTTAGATTAATAAAAGTAAATAGATTTTACATCTCTAACTAATACACATAATTTAATTAAAGAGGATAGCACTCTTTCATCAAAATAATAAAAAAATTAAATATAATAAAAAAAAGATATTGAGTTTGTTGATATATTATATCCTTAAAACTTGAATTAAATTGATTTAATTTAAAAATTTAATAATTATGATAATAGCGTTTAAAATTTAAATGTCTAAATACGTGATCCTCCTTCTTTGTTAGCTTCTCCTTATTTTTAAGGACAAATAGATAACTAAATTTAATCCGTTCCATTATAATAGTCTTCTTCAAGCTCTTAAATTTCAGAAAAAGAAAATGTCGCTAGCAGCTTTTCCTAGAACTACTGTTTCTATAAATAATATACTTTTGATGAACAAAAAAACAATTAACCAGAAAACACGATTTTTAATATGATTCAAAAAGTAAAATTACATTTAAAAACACATAAAATAGAAAATATTTAATTCATGATTATTATTTTATAGGATACTAAAAATAAAGTTAAATCAGATCTAGAAAAGTTAAAAATGAATAGTTTCACTATTTTATAAAAGGAATCTACTGACAATAAAGCATAGTAGTTTAATTAAACAGTTTCAACATCGAGAGTATTAATAGAGTAAAAAATAAGTGATAGTTCTCCTCAAAATACTAAAACCAATAAATAAAGCTATGAAATTTTATTCAATTAATAAAGTGAACATAAATTAGAAAATAAAACTTAAGATGTAAATGAATAAAATATTAATAAATATTTTAAGAGTGAAAATCAAGTATTTTAGCTTATTCAAAATTTGTAAACAAAAAACTCCTCCTAACACTCTCTCAGCTCATTACTATTAAAAACCAAAGGCCGATTAATTAATCAAATTTAAGATAAATCTAAATCACATATTACTGTTAAGATGCTCAATATGTTATCATGTAAATTATTTGCTATTTTTATAAAAAAATCTAAATTTATTTTAAACTTTTTTTTTTAAATAATTAAAAGTGTTCGTCATAATAGCGTTTATATCCCTGATTATAATTTATAGTATAGTAATTAATACTAAGTTTAAAATAGCAACTGATGCTTTTTCTGTAAGTAATTCTATTTCTGAAATTAACTAGCAATATTTTAGAGCTCTATTATCTAGTCTGTAGCTGTACCAAGTAAATAACGGGTTATTCTTCAATATTGAACCAATTATAAGCAAATAAAATTAATTGAACCAATATCTAAATTAGACAGTTTACAGCTTTAAGAAGAGTTATATTTAGTATATGTCTAACTATATCTCTTATGATATGTTTTAGCAATAAAATTTATAAGTAACAATCTTTAATAATAAGTAAATAACCGAATTTGATTTAATTAAATATTTCCATCCTCATAAAATAAATATTTTCAAGCAAAGATATTATAAATATTTTTTAAAAATCTAATTTAAAATGTAAAAAAAATATTAAAGTTTTTAAAAAATTTTATAAAAACAAACTTTTATTCAAATAATTTTTAAAATATTATTTTTATTATTTTTTCAATCATATTTTTAAAAATTACAGCAATTAATTTATGAGATATTATATAAAATTTAAATTTGATTTAGTAATTAATTTTATTTTTTAAATAATTAGGAAAGGATATTCTTAAGTATTAAGAAGTAATTTTGAATTTGATATGTTAAATTTTAAAAATATTATAAATTTAATAAATTAACAAAATCAAATTGATGGACTGTTCTACTTAATTTAAAATATGATACTTTTTAGAGAAAATCAATAAATAAATATAGAAAATGTTTATTAACAAGATATGCAAAATCAAAATAATCTCAAATATTTTAATATTTTAACTTTCAGCTTAACTATATTCATTTATTTTATTATTTTTTCAGTTGCTATTTATTTAATAATGCTAATTTAGAAATACTAAGAAAAAATTTTGATGACTATAGCTAGAATATAAGTATTTGAGTGTGAAAATAACTCATCTATTTACAAAAAGTTTGTTCAAACTCTTAAAGATCCATCATTGTCTTGGCTACAAACTGATTTTATTTCAACTAAATTTTTCTAACAAACTACTAACGAAGATAAAAAAGATAAAGAAAAGGGCTATTTTTCTTAAAAAAGTCTAAAAAAGATGAAGTAGTTTGAAAAAAAAGAATCTTTTATTAATTTTGAAAGTAGTTTAGCAGTATATACAAAAAGATCAAAAAAATTAAAAAGAAGTCAAATGATTTCAACTTCTTTCACTCATTAAAATTTGACTAAGTGGAAAAAATTAATTACCATAAGTTTGATTTGCTTTCTATCAATCGGATTTTTTAGTGTAAGTAACTTAATAATCAAAAACTTTAACGATATTTTTAATTAACCCTCTCTTATTTTCTATTAATCCTCATAAACTATTTAGAACTTGTTATAATTGAAAGCCTTTTCTTAAATTCTCTCTAACTATAGATATATAACTCAATTCTAAACGGATTTTCCTATAGTTCAGTTAAATTAAACTTTTGAAATTTTTAAATAATAGAATTATCAAGTACAATAATTAATATCTTATTTACTTAATGAATTGGAAAAGCTTAGAGCATATTCAAAGTCTTCTTAAACTAATTATTTAAGCACTATTTTATAGCAAAATTTATGTGATTAGTTAGAAAATAATTAACAGCCAACTTTGGACTGCTCTAAATTTTCAGAATCAGAAATTTAACTTTTATAAGGTGGAGCTTTAGGGATTGTAAATAGGTATATATATATATATAACCAATATTCAAGTTTATTCAAAAACGATCTTGAATTAGAAAGACACACTTTATAGTTAGAATTATTCCTAAATAGTAGTGACTATTTTGACCTTTTTATTGATCTGTCTTAATAAATAGATGTTATTTCAAATAATTTTATAAGCACAATAACAAATATCTGTTTAGATTTTACTTCACTTTTAAGTCAACAAATTTAGCTTTATTTTATAATTTTGGGACCTATTATGCTTCTTGCTTAAATATTAGCAATTTTTTATATAAAGAGAGTATTTTATAATTAATTAAGATTTTTAATATTTGGATTAACCTTAATACCTTATTCTAAAATACAAGAAGAGTCTACTTTATAAATCATTAAATAGCTATGACAATAGTGAAATATTTATTGTGAAATAAATTAAATATTTTCTTGTTTTTTATATTATTTGTATTTTTAAATATAAAGTTAACAACTTTTAGTACAGCGATAAAATAAAAAACTAGTTTTTTAAATATTTATTTATAAATTGAATTAAAATACTTTCATTTAAAATAAAATTTCTAATCTTTTTATATATTAGTGTTTTTATTTTTTAAATTTGGGCAAAACCCTAAAGAAGCAATCATTAACAATTTAATATGAAAAAATTTTCAAAATTTATTTTTTTCAAAAAAAATGACATGTTATAAGAATATAAAGTATGTATATATTATTTCAAATTTTACATTTTGCGAATTTAAAGCTTTCTAAATACTCAAGAATAAAGCTGTTTTAAGCTTATTTAGCTGTATTTATTATTTTATTAAGATATATTACATTTCGCCTTTTGTAAATTAAATAGGCATTTCACTCTATATTTTAAGCTCAGATTTATGAATAGAAGAATAGAAGGATATTTATTTGCTTTATTTGATTTCATATTTATGAATATAGCATATTTAATATTTCGTTTTTAATATCAAAATCTCTAAATTTTAAAAAACTCTAACATTTTATTGATTATCTTGATTCAATTATTCAGGAAAGTTCATATCCTAAATCAAAATTTTTTTTTTAAATAACAAATCAATATGAACAATAAGTATTTATAAAATTATTATTTACTTTTAAATAAGTTGACAATAAATTTCTTTGATTCAATTGAAATTTGAAATAAATTCAAAAGCATTGAATTAAATTACTACAAAATTTTGTTAAATATAATGGAAACTAATTAGAATGTAATTTTAGATATAAAGTGTTTAGAAAATATATTTCTTGATTAATAAAAAATCAGTCAGGTTACTTACTTTTTATTATTATCATGCACTAAATTTATTAATTAAGTTATTTAAAAAATAAAAAATTATAATTTAATAAACAAAGAAAGTACCAGAAATAAGTATCAAGTAAACAACTTTAGTAATATAGTATAGCTACTAAAAAAGTAGAAGTAAAAAAACAAAATAAAAATGATGAAATACTAACTAAAAATAAAAAAGATGTTGTTGGTTTGTTTTTTGAGACAGATTTAGAAATTATTCAAGACAGGTTACTTATTTTTTATTATTATCATGCACTAAATTTATTAATTAAGTTATTTAAAAAATAAACAAAAAAAGGTAATTATTTGGTAATTTAATAAACAAAAAAGTAGCAGAAATAACTATCAAACAAGCAACTTTAATAAAGTGATGGGTACTAAAAAAGTAGAAGTAAAAAAACAAAATAAAATTGATGAAATACAAACTAAAAATAAAAAAGGTGTGCTTGGTTTGTTTTTTGAGACAGTTTTAGAAATAATTGAAGATAAGTACACACATAACATCCACACGAATTTCTTTTGTTTTTTAATTTTGATCTACATGGTACAAATACTAGGATATGTCTTTTAAACTTATATTCTTGAGTCTTAATAAGAACAAAAAATGAAAACTTTAGGCTAAATATCAGAATGTTCTACTGGAACCTATTTTTTATTTCTAGATGGCTAAGAAAAAATGATTATTTTGGCATTTTTTATAGCTTAAGTTCTTATGTATGCTTATATTATTTACCTGATATTGATTACTTTAGCTAAATATTTTAAATTCAAATCTTGGTTGCTTAAGACTAGAAAGATTAGAAATTCAATCAACAAAAGACTTACAATATACTTCCTAATTTATATATGGCTACTATCCATACCTAATCTTGAAATTAATTCTGGAGTTTCAAGTTGTGGCTAATATGGATTTTTGCCTTAGTATAATGGTAGCAATTGCAATTAAAAACCTGTTATTTTATCAGTTACTTCGTACTTAGGTTTATTCTTCACAATATGCACAACAATAACGCTGCTTTTTTTCTACAGAACTTATGAATTTAATGATTCAACTCTCCTAAAAAGAAAGTTTAAACATATTTAAGTAGTTTAAATGTCGCTATACTTTGCTACTGTATTTAACTATTTCATCAATTTATTTCCAATTGATTTCTAATATATAACTATTGAAGCTATATCAATACTCTATGTATATGATTCAATAGTAAATATACCATTTAGACATAAGAAACTAGCAAAATTTTATATTTGCGTTTCGATCTTATTTCTTTATTTAAATACGGTTTTTATTTTATGGTAAAAAAATTTTTTCTTTCTTTTCTAAGATCTTTTTTACTCAAATTTAATTATTTCATGCTTGCTCTATGGCTTTTCTTCTTCTATTTGGTAAATTAGATATTCTCAGGTGATGCGTATAAATTCAATAAATTTTGAGAAGTAATACTGCTAGATTTTAATTTTTTTATTCAATTTAATATTTTGATAATTTAAGGAGATCAATAAATACTATAAAACAACCACTTATTTTTCAATATTTACATTAAGTTAGAATTTAATTTATGCTAAATATAGTAAATTTAAAATAGATAAATTACCCACATTTCCTTATTTTCTTTCTTCCAAACTAATTTTAAATTAAACCATTCCATTTTAATAATTTTTATAGATACTATGCTCATTTAGATTTCTATCTTGAGTAACTCTACCTTTTAGGTCAAACTTCTTTTACAAACGAAAAAGATAAATTTCATTTATTTGAATAGCTCATCTACCACCAGAATAATTGCTAGGATTTAGAGTGTTATTGTAAAGTGACAACATTCAAAGATGAAAAGGATAATTTAATAATAGATGATCTTTATAAATTAATAGATAGTGTTTTCATTTGGAGCTTAAAGCATCCTATAACTTAAAAGAATATTAGCAATATAGAATACATATCTTTAAAGTATATAACATATTTAACTAAATACAGAAATAATTCTTTCTAAGCTTACTACAACCTTAAAAGTATCCTAGCCAAACACAAAAATTTAAGCTTATATTTTAAGACTCTTTCAAATATTCTATTATCTAAAATAGAAGAAGATATACTACATCAATAACAAAATAATCTTAAAAAAAAATATAATGAAACTTAATTCATCACTTAAGTCAATTAAATTAAATTAGTAATAGAAGCAGAAAAAATTGAAAGAAAAATTATGCCATTGTTGATAGATTTTGCATAAAAAAAGTATGAGTATTACTACATTCTAAAAGAATAAAATATTTCTTTATAAAATTTCTTAGACTTAACTCTTTCTGTTTCTTCAGAAGCCCTAAAAATATAAAAGGTTTACTCTTAATTATTTGTTAAAAATTTAGATTACCCTTTCTTCAGAAAATCTTATCAAGTATCTAAGGTACTTTTTATTAATTATATTTAAAATTATTTAAATATTTTTATCTCACTAAAACATTTTATGTAAATGATATAGTTAAGGCAAGTTTACAAAGTCATAGTATTGAATGATTTATTTGCTTCTATCTAAGATGAAATTTATTTGAATGAAATTTTAAGGAATGATTAAAATAAATATTTAGATTAAGTCAGCAATACAGCAGTTTTAAGAGGAGATGTAATCTCAATGAAAGTAAGTTTTGCTAAAAACTAAGGATAAATAATTAGCAACAATTTGTCAAAAATAGCAAATTATTTTGGGTATACTGATAAGGATGCCTATAAAATTAAAAATATCAAATCTCTCATGCCAAGCTTTATAGGTGATATACATGATTTTTTTATGCAAAGTTCAATATAAAAAGGATTTTCTAATCTCTTTGAATAAAAGATGCAAGTATTTGCAGCAGACTCTTAATGTTTTTTAATTCCTATAAACATCTACTTTACTTTTTCTTTTGAAAACTAAAATGACTGTTGTATTTATAGTACTTTGCTTAAAAGAGATACAAGTAATTCTTATATTTTATTTGATCACTTTGGAAAAATTTTAGGAACCTCATATAAAGCATTTTCTTAGCTTTTTAAAAGTAAAATTGACAAAGAGGAAAATGATAAACTAACTAATTTATTAAGAAACAAATAAGAATCACAATTCTTTTTTCAAAAATAGTAGGTAATAGAGTTTAAAAATTAATGAAAATTACTTTATTAATTTTTAAAATTAAAAATTAAAAAAAAATATTTCAAATATTTACTTTTTAAAAGTTTCCTATTTATATTTTTTTTAAATTAAATAAAATAGATTGAAGAATATTTCAATGATATATCACCATCTTAAGTTTATAATAATTTTTCTATATTTTTGATAATACCATAAATCTTAAGAGTTATTAGAAAGCACTATGAAAAAAATCAATAATCAAATTAAATAACTCAAAGTAATAATCTTAATTAAAATAAATAATGTACAAATTTGTGTCAAAATAAAATTTATAAGATTAAGATACCATATAATTTTCAAAATCTTAACACTAAGCTCAATCAATTTTTAAGCTAATTCACTAGCTCAAAAGATAGAAATTTATTTTAATCTGAAATTGACTATGTTTCTTACTACAGATAGATTTCACATTTCTAAAAGAGAAACTCTAATGTAATAAAACTTCATTAAATAATTATTATTATTTACAAATAAAAAAAATACTACACATTATTAAATATTTCTTAGTTAGTTATTTTAATTTGATAAATTCAAAATATTAAACACTTTTTAAAAAGTTTTATGAAAATAGTAACAATCTGTATAGGGAATTAGATATTTCTTTTAATTTATAAATTATTTCTTACTTCTATGAATAAAATTATGTTAAAAAAACCAGGTCCTTCTATTGCTTAGAACTTATAGATACCTTTTAAAATAAAAATGACACAAAATTATTTAATCCTTTTTTAAGAACTAATAATCTTTAAGAAGATCAAGAGAATGTGACTACAATAGAGAACACTATTGAATCCAGTCATTATTCTTAAAAATTTTAAACAAGTATGTCACTAGATTAAAAAGAAAATAGTGAAATTAAAGATAAATTATTTTTAGATTAAAAAAAGTAAATAGATTTTATATCTCTAACTAATACACATAATTTAATATAAGAGAATATCACTCTTTCATCTGAATAATAAAAAAATTAAATATAGTAAGAAGAAGATATTGAGTTTGTTGATAAACTATATCCTTCTAACTTGAATTAAATTGATTTAATTTAAAAATTTAATAAATATAATAATGGTGTTAAAAATTTAAATATCTAAACACATGATTCTCCTTCTTTGTTTGCTTCACCTTATTTTTAAGGATAAACTGATAGTTAAATTTAATCCGTTCCATTATTATAGTCTTCTACAAACGCTTAAATTTCAGAAAAAGAATATGTCGCTTTTGATGAACAAAAAAGCAATTAACCAGAAAACACTATTTTTAAAATGATTCAAAAAGTAAAATTGTATTTAAAAAAATATAAAATAAAAAATATCTAATTTGATTATTATTTTATAGAATACTCAAAATATTGTTGAGTTGGATCCAAAAAAGTTAAAAACGAATGGTTTTCCTATTTTATAAATGAAATCTACTGACAATGAAGATTAGATAAAAATATCATCTGATATAAGAAATTTAGAATAATAAAAAGATATAAGTAAGTTAGATCTAATAATGCACACAAGTAAATTAAATATCAGCAAAGTAAATATGGATAAAACTATCTATTAAGAAATTAATTTTAATCCTTAGAAAGATGAGTTTTTTAATTAAGTATAGATGTTTAATTAAACAGTTTCAACATCTAGAGTATTAATAGAGTAAAACATAAGTAGCATTTCTCCTATAAATACAAAAACAAAGAAATAAAATGATGAAATTTTATTCAACTAATAAAGTGAACATAAATTAGAAAATAAAATTTAAGATTTAAATGAATAAAATATTAATAAATATTTTAATAATAAAAACCAAGTATTTTAGCATCTTCAAAATTTATAAACAAAAAACTCCTCTTAACATTCTCTCAGCTCATTACTATTAAAAACCAAAGGCCGATTAATCAATCAAATTTAAGATAAATCTAAATCACATATTACTGTTAAGATATTCAATATAATATCATGTAAATTATTAGCTATTTTTATAAAAAAATTAAAATAATTTTATTTTTTATTTAAATAATTAAAAGTATTTGCCATAATAGCGTTTATTTCTCTGATTATAATTTATATTATAGTTATTAATACTAAGTTTAATATAGAGACTGATACTTTTTCTGTAATTAATTCGATTTCTGAAATTAACTAGCAATATTTTATAGCTCTTTTATCTAGCTTGTAATTGTACCAAGTAAATAACGGGTTATTCTTCAATATAGAATCAATTATAAGCAAATAAAATTAATTGAACCAATAGCTAATTTAATCAGTTTAAAGCTTTAAGAATAGTTATATTTAGTTTATGTCTAACTATATCTCTAATGGCCTGTTTTTGCAATAAAATTTTTAAGTAACAATCTTTAATAATAAGTAAATAGCTACATTTAATTAAATTAAATTTTTTTTTGTCATAAAACAAATATTTTCAAACATAATTTTATCATTTAGTTATAAATTAACAAAATTTAAAAAATCTATTTTAAAATGTAAAATAAGTTTTT